CCCCGCCCTCCCCCCCCCCCTCTCCCCCCTCCTCTGGTGTTCACTGCCGACAGCCATGTTCGTGCTCGGCCCGCTGCCAGGACCTGAGCCCGGAAGTGCAGGTCTTGCCCCGACATGTCCTGGCACGGGAGCCCAGGTCGCTCCACAGCACATGCCCGCCAGGCAGTGCCCTGGGAGGAGCCGGTGGGTGCAGGGCCGTGCCCCAGCCCACAGGGCGTGGCAGCGTCTGCAGCCACGGGTAGGGATCCCAGCTCGTAGGAGTGACTGCACACATAAGTGCGTCCGGGAAACCAGAGCGCACGCAGACCCTCGCCTGCTGCAGGCACGGGAGCCCAGGTCGCTCCACAGCACATGCCCGCCAGGCAGTGCCCTGGGAGGAGCCGGTGGGTGCAGGGCCGTGCCCCAGCCCACAGGGCGTGGCAGCGTCTGCAGCCACGGGTAGGGATCCCAGCTCGTAGGAGTGACTGCACACATAAGTGCGTCCGGGAAACCAGAGCGCACGCAGACCCTCGCCTGCTGCAGGTGGGGGCCCTTGTTGGCATCCCCTGCCCCGGGCGCAGCCGCAGAGGGCCCTGCTGGGAGCCAGCAGGTGGTGTGGGTCACCGTTACGAGTCCCTAGGGAACTGGGTTCCTGGTGCCCCGGGGCATCGGAGGCCCAGTCGGGGAAGTGGAGCCCTCTGGAGCCGCCGCCGGGCTCTGGAGCAGCACGTTCTGCTCGGGCCCCCCTGGAGGGCGCTGCCGACCTCCCATCGCTCTGGCAGGTCATCCCCCCGAAGGAGTGGAAGCCGCGGCAGACGTACGACGACATCGACGACGTGGTCATCCCGGCGCCCATCCAGCAGGTGGTGACGGGCCAGTCGGGGCTCTTCACGCAGTACAACATCCAGAAGAAGGCCATGACCGTGGGCGAGTACCGCCGCCTGGCCAACAGCGAGAAGTACGTGCCGGCCGGGCCGCGGGGGCCACGCTCAGTGCTCCCTGCTCAGAGGCTGATCGGCCCCATCCCTGCCTGGGACCCTGCTCAGGGCCGCTGCAGGCTCCCATCTGGGTAGTGGAGCAGGGCAGGGGGGCGGACTGAGTGGCCTGCAGGTGTCCCAAGTCCCTTGGTGGCTGAGGGCAGACCCCACGGCCCCCGGGCCTGCTCTGAGTGGTTCTGGGTGCTGCCCGTCCCCAGGTACTGTACCCCGCGACACCAGGACTTCGACGACCTGGAGCGCAAGTACTGGAAGAACCTCACCTTCGTGTCCCCCATCTACGGGGCGGACATCAGCGGCTCTCTCTACGACGATGTGAGTGCTGGGCCCTGCCAGGACAGATGGGCCTGCTGCCCTGTTGGCAGGGCGGAGAAGGGCCGAGAGTGGGCCTCGATGCTGCCGTGCTCAGGGTCGCAGGAAGGCTCACCGCGCGTGTCACTGGCTCCGGCTGCGTCAGCTCTAGGACTGCTGGGGGGGCGGCAGTCCGAGGTGCAGAGTGGCTCCTGCCAAACTCTTCCGCCCAGCCCTGAGCAGGCACCCTGCTGGCCTGGCTGCCCTGTCCCAGTACTGCCATCAGGAACCCCAGCCCCCCAGCACGGTCCACGTAGGGGCGCCCAGGCTAACAGTGGGCTCTCACCCTTTTCCCACCCCTCTCCCTGGCCCTGCGTTTACCCCGAAGTCACCTCCTGCTCCGAGTCTCCTTCCCGAGTCCTGGTCTTAGTGGGTGCTGGGGCGGGAAGGGGAACCGAAGCCCCTGCCCAGGGCCAGGGCTCGCCTTCACAAGGCCCGAGCTAACGGAGCGCTCAGCCTGCAGCTGGGGAAACCCAGTGTGCAGCAGAGGGACGACTCGCCCCGTCACGGGGTGCTCGGGCTAGACCCCATGGGCCCCTCTCCAGCCACGTGATGACGGCCTGCGTGGGTGGCCAGGCAGGCGGCTGGGCGTTAGGTCGGCGGCCGTTCCCGGTGCCCCTTCCTAGCTTTGTGGCTTCTGCCCGAGCTGGCTCCTGCCAGGGCTGAGGCCTGTGGGCTGCAGCGGCGCAGGGCTCGGATGGCGGGTGTGTTCACGAGTGCCGGTGGGCCGGCCGGGCTCCGGCTCCGGGCTCTCAGGACGATGGCCTTGTTTGCAGTGGCTTTAAGGGCAGCTGGGGCTGCCAGCGTCTGGGGGGAGGGGCGGGGGGGGCGGG